GAGGTGTGAGATATGATTTTTTTTTTTTTTTGCCAGAAGGCATGTGCACTCACCAGAGCGAGGATGAGGAAGTAAGAAACCACCCACCACCTCCCATGGGACATGGCTATGCCACACTCCCTTCTTCTCTATTTCTCCTTTCAGGATTCTGGGCATGCATGCACATGTGCCTGGAGTGTTTTTCAAACTGCTGGGTCCAGGACTTGAACTGTGTAGTAGCCATGTGGGGTCCAGTCACCTCAATTACCATGCTACCAGCTGGTCTGAGGTAAACATTTTTAAGTATGAAAAAAAAAGGGTAAAGGGTGTGTCAATGCTGTGAAGGGCCTGGGTTTGAGTCAAGAGGGCAGCCAATGGCATTTTAGACGCACTGGCAATCTAAGCACCCACCCGAGCCACGCCAACTGGATCCTGCGGTCAGGATGCCTCTGCTATTCCAGAACAGGGTCCAGGAGGAGCCCAGAAACTGTTCTCATTGGCTTCCCAAAAACCTCTTTGAGATCCCTTTCAAATTCTTCTTCCAAGACAAGTCCTACCTGACCCAGGTCTGAAGCCTGAAAGGGAAGGCAGACAAGACGCTCGGGGACAAAGGGTTAGGGCCGTCAGGTCACTCCTGCCTCCTAGGAGTCCCAGTGGTCGGGCAGAGTGGGTGGGGAGGTGCAGCTGCTGAGATACTAAATGGGCAAGACGCCGCCTGCTTGTTAACGTGGACCTGACAGGTGGCCTGGCTGAAGAGGTGGTTTTGATCACTGCAATGCCTAAGCCCGATGAAAACAGTTTTAAAAATAAATAAATAAATAAAAGAAAGACAAACAAAAACAAAACCATTTCTTGAGAGTTCATGCTTTGCAGGAAGGATGGCCCTTCTCTCCCCCAAGGCTCAGGCTGTGCTGGCACGGACAGGTTCTCTGGGTCAGCTTCCTCACGAGCTCCACGTGTGGGCACCACGGAGCAAAGGGAGAGGCTGAGTGGAGACAAAGATTTTCCTTCGGTTTATCTGTACAAGGGAGTGTCTCCCAAGAGATAACTGTATGGGGAAGAAAAAAATCAGAATCAATTCAATAAACTAAAGTTTAAAATGCCTGGGATTGGAAGATAGCTCAACTGGGTGTCTCTCCCTAGTGAAGAAGGATGAAGCCAACCCTCTCTGAGGGCAATTCCAGATGTGTGAGTCCCCTGGGAAATTTGGTATAAAAGAATCCCAAGCATTTCATTTTGTTTAATTAATTCATTTCTGTCTGAGGTTTTTTTTTTGTTTGTTTTCTTTTTGGAGAGATTTTCGCTATAGGGCGCGTGCGCTTGCCAGACAGACAGAGAGAGACATAGAGACAGAAAGCGAGAAATCACCCCCCAGGGGGGATGGTCATGCCGCAATCCTTTCTCCTCCATTCTCCTCTCGGGATCTTGGGCATGCACGCACACGCGCCCAGCATGAGTTTTAAGCCACCAGGTCCGGGACACGAACCGCGGTCGACTACGTGGGAGTCCAGTGACATAGCCATTACGCTAACTGCTGGTTCCCTCTGTCTGAGTTTCGAGACAATAAGAACAATGTAAATGTTCCTGCCGGTTTGAATAAGGAAGCAGGTAGCTATTCCCCCTTACCCCCTTTTTTTAGAAGTTTTTGCTATAGGGCACGTGTGCTCGCCAGAAAGACAGAGAGAGAAAGAGAGATAGAAAGCGAGAAATCACCCCCCAGAGGGATGGCCACGCCGCAATCCCTTCTCCTCCATTCTCCTCTTGGGATCTTGGGCACACACGCACACGTGCCCGGCGTGAGTTGAAGCCACCAGGTCTGGGACTCGAACTGCGGTCGGCTACATGGGAGTTCAGCGACATAGCCATTATGCTAACTGCTGGTCCCAGCAATTCCCTTTTCTTTCTTTCTTTCTCTCTCTCTCTCTTTCTCTCTCACTCTCTCTCTTGTACGGCAGAGATTTTTGCTATAGGGCACATGTGCTTGCCAAGGAAACAGAAAGTGAAAAATCCCAGAAAGGATGGCCACGCCACAGTCCCTTCTCCTCCATTCTTCTCTGGGGATCTTGGACATGTATGCACAGGCTCTGGCGAGTTTTAAGCCACTAGGTGCAGGACTTGAACTGGTCGACTATGTGTGAGTCCAGCAACGTAGCCATTCTGCCATCTGCTGGTCCCGCAATTTCCTCTCCTTAATGAGAGTGTCCTGCCTATCTGGGAATAGGGAGGATGGATTTTTTGGGGGGATACCATTTACGGGAACCTTCTGCTGTACTGTTTGCTGTTCTTTTTCCACCCACATTTCTACCCCTGGATTGCCGAGGTAGTTTTCTTCTGTAACTCTTGCTTTGTTTAAGACCCTCCCAGGACAAGACCGAGTGCAATTCTTGCTAAATTTTGCTGTCCCTGACATCAGGGAAAAGGAGAAAGAACAGGAAAAGGAGGCCGAAATGTCCCCTTCCTTGTGAAACGATTTATGGTTGTGGAAGATCAGGGGCACATCCGGCACAGCCAGGCCACCACGTACACTTCCTCTGCCAGCCTCTCCGTCACCAGGATCAACCACAGGGCTTCCTTAAAGGGCTCGCCGTAATCTCGAATCTGGACAAAGCCGACACAGGGATGACCTTACTACAGCCGTCATCACTTGGGTGGACTCAATTTAAATACAACCCACGCCTTTATTGCAGGGTGACAATCAGGGCATCTGGCATCTCCATGCCAGGTGTTGTTCTAAGCGCCGCTGTGAGTCTAAACACGTGACTTATAGCACCGCCGTGAGATGGCACCATACCTAATGACCCCATTTCACAGATGGCAAATCGAGGGATGGAGAGGTTAAGTAACCTCCACGGGCTTTCACAGCTAGGAGTGGTAGAACTGGGACTGGAACCCACACCGTTTGGTATCTGTGCTCATGACCCCTGGTCTATCTGTAAGACAGTCCTACTAGCAAGGCAGTGACACTGAGCTGTGAGGCCATTTGCCCAACATCCCAGGGCTCTGACCCCAGAGTGGGCACTAAACACTCTCCCCTTCCTCCTGAGCAAACAGCAGCCCCCAAGACCCCAGGCCCCACATTTGTCGAATGCATTTTGCAGAACAGAGTCATAAGACATGACTTACATTTTGCGGGCGCTCTGCAAGGAAGAAGCCTTGTGGACGACAGCAGGCCTTCAAGAGGAGGGATTCACACTTCCGAACGTGGAGAGGGCGTCACGGTGAAGTGCCGGCTCGGAGCAGGTGAAGAGGGCCCGGGTCCGAAGCACTCCTGAAGGCCAGCAGCTGAGCACAGCTGACATTGGACGCGCTTGCCCACGGCCCGTGGTGCTTGGGGGTGTTTGCCATCCTCTAACGGGGGACATCGAAGCTCCCTTTGGGTGCCATTCCCTGAGTGCCTGCTGTGCTTCTCACCAGAGAATGGTGAGGAGGAGGCGTGGGGTTTGCGTCCCACTCAGCAGCCGCTCCTCGGCCTCCGGGTGACGCTGCTGGCCGCCCGAAGAGCTCTTCATCCCGCAGAAGATGCAGCTCCATGGGGGCCTGCGAGGTTGGTCACAGGTGAGCAGAGGCCGTGGGCCTGGAAAGAGCCCAGCTCCTCGACTGCCGCTGTCCTTCCAGGAATGGCCACGGGTTCAGCTCACCCCTCCCAGAGTGTCCAGGCCCCCTACATATGGTCCACGCCGAAAGCCACCCTCTCATAAGGTGGCAGCGGGGTCAGTCTGAGGAAGGCAGGCTCTCCTCTCCCATCGGAGCTGCCAGGAGCACACGGATCGGGGCCTTTCAGGCCTGCGGGTCAGAGGCTGGGTTGAACCACCATCCACCCCTCCCAGCCCCCCTGACTCCCCCCAACCCTGCCCAGGCCTCGGGCCTCCATCAGCCCACGGACACCAGGTGACCCGAGGGACCAGGCACACTTCCTGTCTTTTCCAAGAAAGCACAGAACGCGTTTCCACCCAGCACACCCTGGACAGGAGTCCCTGCTGCAAAGCCAAAAAACAGTATCTCCCGGGACGATGGCAGGTGGGGCCTTTGACATTTACAAGTGGCTTTTACAAAACGGAACCTCATGGACCCCCTGCCCCCCACTGTTTACACCGTTACTACCATTCAGGGCAAATTGAAATAGGGCCTTCCAGGATGGAAATTCGCTGTGCGAGATTTAGAGAAGGGGTCACTATCCCTGTTTCTCTACTTAATAGCCCAACGTGGCCTGTTCTCATACTAGAAAAAAATAAATGGCGCCCCCTGGTGGGTGACTACAAACTGTGTGTTGCAACCCCACCATCAAGGCCCCATGTCCGGCATCACTGGACTGGTCCCATCCACTTAGAACTGGCAGTTCCACAGGCATAGGTTTGACTAAGGCATCGTTTCTTTTTTCCCTTTTTTTTTTTTTGAGAGGTTTTTGCTCTAGGGCACGTGCACTCGCCAGAAAGACAGAGAAAGAGAAAGGAGCAGTCAGCCCCAGGGGGGATGGCCATGCCACAATCACTTCTCCATTCTCCTCTCAGGATCTTGGGCACACACTCACATGCGCCCGGCATGAGTGTAAGCTACCGGGTCTGGGAGTCCAGCAACATAGCCATTATGCCAACTGCTGGTCCCCCTAAGGCGTTGTTTCCACAGCATCTCAGCCGCAGTCGCCTTCGCTGCTGAAGGGCACAACGGGCCTTGATCACCTCCCGGGGGAACCCTGACAGCTCCGCCACTAACAAAGACTTTGCAGGTGGTAGTACAAGAAAACATTACACATGTGTGTTTCATGATACTTCATGGATTGGTTGCCAGGTTACAGACAATAAGAAGCCATTAACAAATCTATAAGAGATTAGTCATACCCGGGGCAAGGTGTATCCCCTGGTGGTAATCCCATCTAGAGTAAATCTCATCTTCCTTTCTAATGCAGAGAACTAGCTGTTAGGTGTGTCTGTTGGAACGCCCCTAGTAATTTCCACCCTTGCTCTGTCTGCAGCCAAGGTCAGGGAAAGACAAGTTACAAGGTTCTGCCAAACCCCAAAAGAGCATGTGGTGTTTGCTCAGCGCATGTCCCCACACCTCAGACTCTCTCTCTTAAACGTGTCCCCACAGGGTTTGAGTGTTCCCCGACGTTCTCCAGAGCACGGTACGGCAGACCACACGGATGACACCCTTCTCTGAGCACTCAGCAGACTCACTCGGGGGTACGCACAGGGCGCCCACAGGGTCCGAGCACCCGCCGCTGCAGTACACGTCCAGGCATTCTGTGGTCAGCGAGGGCGCTGCATCCCCGACGCTGTCAGGAAATAATTACGGGTCCCCTGAGCCCTCACACGGTTTCATAAGTCCCCCGACATCTTCTAGGCCTTTTGAGTTCTGGAGGCAGCACGTTCCTCATTTACGGGTCTTACTTAAGCCCCTGTGCTGTTACTTGCAAAGCGGCCCACTCAGAATTGGCCCCTCTGACAACGGCTCTAGCATCTGCCAGGTCGCACTACAGCAGGCATTCCCGCTGTGCTGCCGAGGCTCCCTCAGCGTGGAGGCTTCAGCAACCTCCTCCTGTCTCCTGGGGTCTCTGGGCTACCCAAGATGACCCTGGGCTTCTGGCGCAGAGTTCAAAACTTAATAAAGGTCCTCTGCAGCCCCCACTCTGCCATTCAGGCAACTGCCGGCTGTGCATGGGCCCTTCTGGACCCCGAGCTGGGACTCTTAAAGCTACCTTCCCATTAGCCCTTGAGTCATGGAGGCAGCCCCTGCAGGGCTGCCGTGAGTCTCAGCGTGAGGTCTCTGCACTGTACACGCGGACGGAGCCAGACCCAGGGGCGAGGGTGTGCTGCGGAGCAGTGGGGACGTGCTGGAGAACATGCCGGGGAAAGGCCTGCCCCAGCCCAGTCGTCAGAAGTAACCGTCGCTCTCACTACCCCAGGACGGCCCCTGGCAAGTGGCAGCGAGAGGTCGGACCCAGTGTGCCCTTGGCTGTCCCATGCTGCCAGGGGCATTGTAAGAGTTAAGAGGGCTTTGACACCAGGGCTGTTAGTCCGTAAGTTAGATTTTAAATATCTTTATTTTTTCTCTGGTTACAAAGGCAGTAAATGGTCGTTATAAAAATTCCAACTGTACATAAATGTATAATTACAGGGCAAGTGTTCCTCTAATCCCACCTCAGAATGGGTGGATTCAGGTGTTTTCAGTTATAGAAACTCACATACACGTAAATGAAACTGGTCATCTTCTACACATGAGACGCCTAGCCTGAGTTCCCGAAACATTCCTGACCTCAAAATCTCTGGCAATTTTTTGCTAACCAAAGGATGAATGTGTCCACGCCTAGGAATCCTTCAGAAAGGTATCTGGAAAGTACCATTCCGCAGATAGATCCATTTACAATACGGATGGGATTTGTGTTCTTTCCTAATATTTTGCTATTGCAATGTGCTGCTGAGCACCCTGATTCCCAAGGCATTTCAAACCCGCGTGGAAGAGGTGGTCTATACAATAAACGCATGGGGGACCATAGGCTTAAGCTCTGAATGGATCCAGCCAGGTGAGGCCAGCCTCCAGGACAAAATGAAAGAAGCCGTGCTGTGTCTGCTGCAAGTCTACATTTAATGAGAGCCCGTGACTGGAGCTCATGCCAGTACCTGAGCAAGCGTGGAAGGCTGAGGAAGAGAAGTTCGTGCAGCCACTTCTACTGCAGGGAGGCTCTGCAGAGGCAAAGCTTAGGCAGGCAGGTGCTCCCATCCTGGTGCCACCAGCAACAAACACGTTGCACTGAGCAAGACTTGGTGTTAAACTAGGGACGATCCCCTGGCCTTTTCATATACTGTTGTCTATTTCAGTATTTTTTTTTTAATTAATTAATTTTTTTTATTATTATTTTTTTTAGTTTGCTAAAGGATACATGTGCTTGCTGGAGAGAGACAGAGACAGAGAGATGGAGGGGGAAAGTCACCTGCCGGGGGGGGGAAGACTGTGCTGCTTTTTTTTAGTTTGCTAAAGGATACATGTGCTTGCTGGAGAGAGACAGAGACAGAGAGAGATGGAGGGGGAAGTCACCTGCTTGGGGGGAAAACTGTGCTGCAATCCCTTCTCCTCCATTCTCCTCTAAGGATTTCTGAGCATGTACACACATGTGCCCAGCATGTGTTTCAAGTCACTAGGTCTGGGACTCGAATCGTGTCCCCACTGGGTGGGATCCAGCCTTCTTAATCTTTAGGCTACTTTCTGGTCCTGTGTCTGACACCTTCAGTTTGTAGTCATCCAAATATTCAGATCTTTTCCTAAAACATGTGGACATCATTAGCTTTTGCCTTAACACGTGTATTTGCCAGAGAGAGATAGTGAGACAGAGACAGTGAGAGGAAAGTGAGAAATCAGCCCCCCCACCCCTGGGGGTGGGGATGGTTACACCACAATCCCTTCTCCTCCTCTCCTCCTGGGGTTTTGGGCATGCAGGCACACACACCTGGCATGAGTTTCAAGCCACTGGGTCTGAGACCTGAACCGCAGTTGGCCATGTGGGCACCTGGCGATGTAACTGCTATGGCACCCTCAGGCCCTTCATTTTGATTTGAAAGAGTCGTTTGAGTCCCACTAAGGCAGTTGATGTGAAGACAGTGCCCCTGAATGTGAGGGAGATTCAGAGCGGGGACATTCGGCCTTCAGACACGGGAGTCTGCCATGTTGGCTGAGGATGCAGTAGAAAGTCACCTTCTATTTACCTCTTTCTGGAAACTTTTTCCTTGAGGACAGAACAAAAGTCCTTTCTGAAAAAAGAGAAGTCAATGAATGGGGTGATTCTGGAAGTTCATCTTCTGTAAATAATGAAGTTCCCTCTCCCTAGTGAATTTTGTACTTAGACATCACACTGGCTCTCAAACCGAAGGCATCTAAGAGAAAAAGGAACTCCCTCCCTCCACCAGTTCTCCTTTGGACTTCGAGTGATGATAAAATCATTCGTTCTCAAGACCAAAGCGGCTCTTTCCTAATCCCTTGTCCAACCATTTTCCTTTCCATTTCTTCCTGTCTATATAAAACCCTCAGGATTTTATTCCAACTCAATTTTTTGAGTGTTATTGTGAGGCTTTGTGTTGGCTTCTGGGATCACAAAGACCCGTATGCTCTGCAGTCGCTCATGTAGCAGGGAGAGGATGCTATGAACGTGCAAGCAGAGACAGCCCACGGAGAAGGCGGCCGAAATGCTTCCCAGAGGGTGCAGATGAGCCGATCCTTGAGCTGCGTTTATCAGGCAGAGCAGGGGCTACGTCTTCAGCTACTTTCCTTCCAACCCACTCTACCCCATACCACCAGACTAAGCTTCTTAAACCTCCTCTGCTGCATTTAAGTTCTCAGGCCACTTTACGTGACTTAGAGTTCTCCGCCATTAGCACCAGTCTCCACTCCTGTCACCACCACCTTTTTTTTCTGTGAATGTTTAGCTCTTTCTTTCCTTTTCTTTCTTTCTGTCTTTTTTTTTTTTTTTTGAGAGAGAGATTTTTGCTATAGAGTGCATGTGTTCACCAGAGAGACAGAAAGGGAGAAATCACTCCCCAGTGGGGGATGACCATGCCATAATCCTTTCTCCATTCTCTTCTTGGGATTTTAGACATACATGCACATGTGCCCAGCGTGAGTTTTAAGTCTCCAGGTCTAGTACTTAAACCACGGTTGACTATGTGGGAGTCCAGGGACATAACCATTAAGCCATCTGCTGGTTCCATGTTTAGCTCTTTCTAAATCATGCTGGTAAACTCCAATGGGAATTTCTCCACCTTCTTGCTGCAGAAATTCTACTCATCCTTCCAGGACTGAAACCCCCACCTGTCTGTCCTTCGTCATTACAATACCTCCAGCAGCTGTCTCACAGTCTGCCCTCCACAGTGCAAACTCCGCTTCCAGTCTTTCGAGTTCTTCTTTTTTCCTTCTAATTCAAATTCTTTTGGAGTAAACCAAACTCCCTCCTTGTTCTGAATGCACTTCTCTGAGGATCCTGCAAGAAAAAGACAGCCCATTCTAGATCTACCTCCATGCTCTGTGGATTCACCCTAAACCTCCAAATCCCAGGTACTATGCTCCACCTCCAGACTTCCCTGTGAGGTGGGGGCAATAGCAGGGGAGTCTGGATCCCTCTTCTCTTAGATTGAAGGAAGCCCTAAAACCTGAGTGATGAGGTTGTTGAGTGGAATTTGTATTATTTTTATTGTCAAAGAGCAGGTGCACTCACCACCAAGAGACAGAGAGAGACAAAGACAAAAAGAATGTGGTCACACCATAATCCCCTTTCCTCCATTTTCCCATCCTGTGGAGATCTGGGGCACTCCAGCCAGTGGGACCAGGATTTGAACTGCAGTTGGCCATGTGAGATCCAGCTCCCTTAACCACTAGGCTATGGGGCCTGCTTGGAATTTGTATCTTATGTAACACGTACATGCAGCAAGGATTTGGTGATCAGTTTCATAGGGTCAATGCCCTGTGGGAGTGGAGTGGTTCGGGTGCTAGATATACCATGCTGCAGAAAGGTTTGGAAATTCCTTCCTAAGAAGCATTTCTTTATGTACAGTGATTGAATGTACAACAAATATTAAAAAGACGAAGAAGCATTTCTTTTTCAGCGGCCTAGTGACCAGGGTCCAATTCCTCAGCCACTGCACTTGTGGGGATTTTCATCCCTCATAGTGATTCCTTCACGTAGGGATTCCAGAGAGCAGAAGACTGAGGAACTCACCTTGCTGCAGCTTTTTCATATACAAAATCCCTTTTGCCTCACCACAGGTCACAGGAAGTTCCAGGGCATGGAAATCCACAGGGTCATCTGCAGGTTTTTCTGAAAGTAGAAAAGAATTGGTTAGTATTATTCAGCCTTATTCTATCTTCTTCTAGAATTCTCCTTCATGAATTTCAAGAGTTAATAATAAAAATAATGTAGGTGGTACCGGGAACTATGCTAGTCAATCTGCAGGAAGTCTTCCACTTTGACTGGAGTGTGAGCTGTGTGCAGAGAGGTCTCAGTGAACAAAACCAGCCCATCACGAACACACCATCAAACAGAACATTTCAGCCTAACACACAGGGCTTCTGCAGCGCCAGTCGCTAACTGGACGCTAATTGGCCACCACCTTCTTTGATTCCACAACCATGCTGTTTATATCTCTGTCCTGACAGAAGTTGCCTACCTAAAATATTTCTTTGCATTCATGTAGCCAGAGAAAAAGCATTTTGTTTTGTTTTCCTTAAGTTCTTGCTATAGGGTGTGTACACTTGCCAGAAAGAGAGAGAGAGACAGAGATAGAGAGAGAGAGAATGCACCCTCTGGGTGAATGGCTACACCACAATCTCTTGTCCTCCATTCTCCTCTCGGGATTATGCTGAAGTGTGATTTCCAAGCCAGAGGGTCCAGGACTTGAACCGTGGAGTTGGCCATGTGAGATCCACACCACTTGCCGGCCTGAAAAAGTCCTTGGTTATCATCTCATTTCCTGATTCAAGCTAAGAGATGGTTGGCACTCAAGGGCTGCTGTCTGCCATTGTGTTTAGCTGTCTCTTCATTTCTTTGCGTCCCTCTTTTCCCTGTGAAAACAAGAAAACCTTGGAAAATCCGTTTAAACTAATCTGAAAACTGCACGTGGAGAGATGTGATAACTCAGAACCTCAGAGCAGGGATCTGGTTCTGACTCGGGGGAAGCAGCGGTAAAAAGGCCTGAAGTAATACCCGACAATCCCGCTCCCTTCCCCTCCAGCCTCACGGGGAATTCAGGAAGGACAGACTGTGGGGCTGTTTCTTGGGGGACAGAGGAAAGGGCCGCCGATGCCTGTGTTGAATTAGAGGGTGTCACATCCAGCGCAGGTCTAGGAGAACATCTGGCCCACCTCTCCGCCTTGCCTCAAACACGTAAGTGGGAGAGCCGGAAGAAAATACGTGGAGGGACCAGCAGTTAGCATAATGGCTATGTCGCTGGACTCCCATGTAGTCGACCACGGTTTGCATCCCGGACCTGGTGGCTCAAACTCATGCTGGGCGCATGTGCGTGTATGCCCAAGATCCCGAGAGGAGAATGGAGGAGAAGGGATTGCAGTGTGGCCATGCTCCCGGGGGGTGATTTCTCGCTTTCTGTATCTCTGTCTCTCTCTGTCTGTCTGGCAAGTGCATGTGCCCTATAGCAAAAACAAAAACAAAACAAACAAAACGAAAAACACCTCTCCAAGAAAACACGTGGAAAAGCACGAGCATCGTTGGAAAAGGAAGGAGCAGCACCAGCAGCGAAGAAACCATTAAATACGTTGGACTGTGAGAGCGGGGAGCCCTGAGAGGTCAGGGAACGGTCTTCCCCACAAGGATGCCCAGCCTGAGGCAGCACGGCTATGCCTGTGGGTGGGAGAGGGGTGTGGGACCCTCGAGTGGAAGGTCTCTGTCTGTCCTGACAGCTGGCCAGCGCTCTCGCATGGAGTGGCCGGCTCTACCACGTGTCCCCAGACGCAGTAAATGTGGCCGGCAGATCTGGGCAGGGCCTCAGGAGCCAGAGCTGGCCCGCCTGCCATCCCGGCTCTGCAGCTCCCTTGCAGGACTGTCTGCGTGTGGACTGCCGAGACCGGATTCGAGTGGGGGATTCGCCCTCACAGGTTCCTATCCTGGGTGGCGAGATGGTGCTACCAGCACCTTAGAAAGACTACTGCAGCCCGAAGGGACCTTCCTCAGTTCTCTGTCTCAAGGAAGTGGCTCATCCCCGATGGCAGTACAGCTTTCAGGATGCAGGTGTCCCCCACTGGCTCAAGGCAGATGCGGGGGCAGGGGCGGCTCTGGGGGCTCTGGGGGCTGTGGTGGAGGCGGGTCACCAAGTGAGATGGGCCTTAGGACACTTCCAGAGCCACCACCCTCCCTCCAATAGCAGCTTTCTGGGCTGTTCCCGATAGTCCTGGGTCTGGTCCAGCCTCCCCTCCCCTCTCTGCACACAGGCCTTTAAGAATGGGGCCCTACTGCCCCTGAGACCCTGGGGGAAGGTCCCCCCGGGGCTGTCCAAACTGCCAGCATGTTTTCCAGGGTGACCTGCAGCAGTGACTGATTTACATCATCAGTAAGTGTGAACAATCAAGAAAAGTAAGAAATGAAAGAACCCAGGGAGTTTACGGGAATCAAAAGAAAAGCCAAACAAGGAAGAGCAGAATGGAAAAAACAGATAGTGTCCTGCAGACCCGCTCCAGGAATTCTTACTGCACACAGGGAAAAGGCGAAATGAGAAAATGAGGATGAGAGACCCTGGGGAGAGAGCTGGGAACACGTGACCCAGTGACGAGCCTGGGCTTGAGGGCGCTCGGGGTGGACGCCGAGCAGCTGGAGGGAGATGGAAGTGCAGCGGACACATGTATCACATCCTTACGGCGGCCAGGAGGAGGCCCCGTTATCCCACTGACAGACGGGGGAGTTAGACTTGGAGGAAGAATTACTGCCGGTCGCCCCACTTCATGAGGTGGAGCTGGCATTGAAATTCAGACATGCCAGCCTCTTGCCACGCCATCAGAAATGCCTCAACACGAATCCGCATCACGTGGTCGATTACAACGCACACGGACTTCTGTAAGTCAGAAGGGGCAGTGGGGAGGCAGGAGAAGCTGACGCAGAACACCCGTCAGCATGTGCCTGGGCACCGCCTCTGCTGATATTTCAGTGTTTTGTAGAAAGAATAGAAGGCGGGACCAGCAGAGGGCATAATGGTTATGTCACCAGGCTCCTACGTGGCTGACCACAGTTCGAGTCCCAGACCTAGTGGCTTGGAACTCATGCCAGGCACGTGTATAAGTGTGTCCAAAATCCTGAAAGGAGAATGGAGGAGAAGGGATTGCAGCATGGCTATCTCCCCCTGGGGGGGGGGTGATTTCTCACTTGCTGTCTCTCTGGCTCTCCAGCCAAGTGCATGTGGCTTATAGTAAAAAAAAATCTCTATAAAAGACTAGAAGGTATCTGGATTTATGTGTTTACCTTTTTAGTGTAAAAGAAAAAAAGAGTGTGGGACTAGAGCACCTCGGTTGATTTAGCTCATGCAGGCTTTTACTCTAACTGAATCCATGAGATGGGCTGATAACACTCACTTGCGAGGATTAAGTGACAAAACGCAGTGCAAAGTGCTTGCCGATCGTGAAAGGATGTCTACACGTACTTACACTGGCAGCAGGGCCTCTGCATCAGGTCACGTGGGTTGTGCACAGAGCAAGGATCTGCTTTTATTTTTTCAGAGGTTTTACTATAGAGACAGAGAGAGACAGAGACAGAAAGCAAGAAATTTTTCAGAGGTTTTACCAGAGAGACAGAGAGAAACAGAGAGACAGAAAGCAAGAAATCACCCCCTAGAGGGGATGGCCATGCCTCAATCCCTTCTTTTCCACTCTCCTCTCGGGATTTTGGGCACGCACGCACACGCGCCAGGTGTGAATTTAAGCCACCGGGTCCAGGACTTGAACCGCGGTTGACTACATGGGAGTCCAGCAACATAGCCATTATCTGCTTTTAAAGCACAGCTCAGGTTCGCGGCTCAGGTTCACATCCCAAACAATGGATTTCTGTGCTTAATACAATAATCTTCCAGCAGAGGGCAGCAAAAGGTTTGGTTTCAAGACTCAGCTTTACACAGCAGGTAGTGAATCCAGGGTCATGTTTTCTAATTCCTCTAGTGCATTGCATGGGCCCTGCTATTGGTCTTCATATTTGATGAACAAGAATGAAGATCGTGGGGCTGGCAGGGGGTGTGGTGGTTAAAGTACTGGACTCCCCCATGGCCAACTGCAGTTGGGGTCCTGGACCTCGCAGCTTGCTTTCTCACCTTCCCTTTCTCTTCCTGTCTCACTCTGGTCAAATTAAAATAATAATCAATTAAATTAAATAATTCTTATAAAGAGAATGAATAATGTGTTGACTTGTTATTTATTTATTCATATATTTTTAAATTATTTTTTTTATTTATTATTATTTTTAAAATTTGCCATAGGGCACTTGCACTCACCAGAGAGAGACAAAGAGAGAGGGAAAGTGAGAAAGCAAGCTGTCAGGTCCAGGATGCGAACTGTGGTTGGCTACGTGGGAGTCTAGCGCCCTAACCACCATACCACCTGCTGGCCTGATTCATCAGTTATTTAAGTACAGACTGTGAGGCCTGGAGGGGTTGAACAAAGAGCAGGAGACTGAGTCACCTCGTGTAACTTTCACACTGCAAGCAGGGTGTGTACAGACCATTACCTACAGGTGCAGGAAGAACCACGAGGAAAACTGTGGGGCTTCCTGAGGACCTATCAGGGAGCCCTACCCGCTGCCTGCAGAGACAGAGAGCGCTTTTCCTGTGGAGGTGATGGCGAAGGTGAGGTCCACAGGTCCACAGCAAAGAGGGAGGAGGATGGGGGAATTAAGGAATCATCAAGAAACAGCCCTGAGGGCTGGTCCTGTAGCTCAGTGGTTAAAGAATCTGGAACCCACGTGACAGTTCAAATTCTGGCCCTGGTGGCTTGAAAAACGCACCGGGCATATGTGCATGTGTGTCCACACCCCTGACAGGATGGAAGAACAGAGGGAAAAAAATGGCGGTGTGACCACGCCCAATGGGGAGGTGCTTTGACCAGCACACATATCCTCTGGCAATAAAATTTAAAAAATAGAAAGACTCCTGAAAACGTGTCCATTTTGAGGATTGGTGTTGCCTTTTTTTTTTTTTTTTTTAGAGAGAGTTTTGCTACAGGGTGCATGCACTTGCTAGAGACAGAGACAGAAAGGGAGAAATCACCCCCCAGGGGGGATGGCCACATCACAATCCCTTCTCCTCCATTCTTCTCTCAGGATCTTGGGCATGCATGCACATGTGCCTGGTATTAGTTTCAAGCCTCCGGGTCCAGGACTCGAACTCTGGTTGGCCATGTAGGAGTCCAGAGAGATAACCATTATGCCATCTGCTGGTCCCAGGGTCACTTTCAATACTAGGTTGTCAGGAATTAGAAGAGACTCTCCCCTACTCAGTAGAGGACAGGTGACTCTAAAAGAAGTGCAAACACGGGTGTCACGTGAACTCACGCACGGCCACAGAGAACCGCACCCCGGGCATATACCGACCTCCACAAGGAGCCATGCAGATGCAGGCGCCATCAGCAGCCTTACCTTTTGATCTGGGCATAACCAGTCTTGGCCTTTGGGCCTTCGTCATTGCCCTTGAGTTCCAGGTCAAGCTGCCCTTGCTTGGAGTCACCTGATCCGCTGCTTGGAGCTTCTCTTGGACTCTTCGCCCAGGTAGGGCCGCCCCTGGACCAAGTAGCAAGTCGTGAATAGTCTGAACTGGGGTCCCCAGGGAGTCTCCGTCCCCTGTGACCGCCCTCCTCACCCCTGGCCCTTCCCTTTCAGATCTCTCTACTTCACCTCTGTCTCACATCTGTTTTCTCGAGTGTGCCTTTCTTCCTCCCCCAGACTCACGCTACTTCTTTCTGCTTTTCTTCCCCTTCAACTCCTCTTTCTGTCTACAAATCCCACGTGTGCCTGTTAGAATGGGCGCTATCCGCGGGCAGGCTGTGTCTGTCATTGCTGTCTCCAGGGCTGAGGACAAGTGCCTGGCGCCCACTTTCCTCTCACCTATCTCTGCGGAGTGAACACAGAAGGTGTATGTTTCTGGAAACACCAGGAGCATGTGCTTTTATCCTGTAGCTGGCCAGGGGCCCCTGACTGTTAAATCAGCAGCTTTCGGGGAAGAGCAGAACTAAGCCACTGTCCAGGTGAGAGGCCATTTTGGACAACGTCTTGAAACAGAATTTGTTGAGAGTGGAAGGTTATTTCCAACTTTCCCAAGTTATCTTGCATACCGAAGGAAAGGCTGTCTGAATGTCAAGTTAGGAACACCTCGGCCAACGACAGGAGTGCGTCTCCTCAGTCCCAGGAGGCAGCAGGGTGGGAGCGAGGAGGAAGGGGCAGAGCAGAAGGGCAGATGAGAGTCGGCCCAGCTCAGACCCCAAGGCTGAGGGGCTGGGAATAAGCAGGAAAGCTGGGAGCATTCCAAAGAGGGAGGCTCAGGCGCGGTTCACGTTTGGGAGCTGGGGGAGGCCCTTTTTGTTAAAGTAAAATTTGTCAACAAGAAAAAAGTCACCTGAGATGACAGGTAATTTGTCTGACGGGTGGCTACGTATGCCTGAAAATAGTTTCCAGAATGTTTTGAAAATTGAAACCTTGGGAACCAGCAGTTAGCGTAATGGCTATGTCGCTGGACTCCCACGTAGTCGACCGCGGTTCGTGTCCCGGACCTGGTGGCTTAAAACTCACGCCGGGCGCATGTGCATGCGTGCCCAAGATCCCAAGAGGAGAATGGAGGAGAAGGGATTGCGGCGTGACCATCCCCCCTGGGGGGTGATTTCTCGCTTTCTGTCTCTATGTCTCTCTCTGTCTGTCTGGCGAGCGCACGTGCCCTACAGTGAAAATCTCTCAAAAAAAAAAAATTGAAACGTTAAAATTATACTAAGTCAAGTGATAGATATTCATAAAATACCTAGATCATGTCTAAGCAAGATAAATGACTAAAACCTTAATTCCTGAACATAAGACTACAGTTATGTATTTTTTTTAATTTTTTTTTTTTTTTTTAGGTTTTTACCATAAGACACATACTCTTGCCAGGAGAAACAGAGAAAGAAAGAGAGACAGACAGACAGACAGAAGGAAACCAAGAAACCACTGCCTATAGGAGATATCCACACCACAATCTTTTCTCCTCCATCCTCCTCTCAAAATTTGGGGTATAATTTTTGTCCTCCATTTTCCTCTCAGGATTTTGGGTTTTGGGTACACACACACACACACACACACACAACACACACTCACCTGGCATGATTTTTCAAGTTGCCTAGTCTGGGACTCAAACTGCAGTCAGCTATATGGGAGTCTAGCACCTTAACCACGAAGCCACATTCTGATACCTATTTTTATGACTTTGAGAGGAGAATGGAGGAGAAGGGATTGTGGTGTGGCTATCCTCTGGGGGGTGATTTCTTGCTTTCTGTCTCTCTAGTGAGTGCATGCATCCTATAGCAAAAATCTCTTTATTAAAAAAAAAAAGAAAGAAAACATTGCTGGTTCTTTAATGCCTTGCTTTCTAGATTTAAGGAACTTTTTTTCTTGAGCTGTCTATGACCTGCAGCAGTTTGGTAAGGTGTCCTTCCGTGAACAAAAATAAAAACATTAATTTTTTCCCCTGCCTGGTTACTCCACAATTTGGAAACTCTTACTAGGTCCTTGTTTACAAAATGGGCATTTACATGGGTCAAAAAAAATCTGTTCTTCTTGTTACAGAACATAATGGGGCAAGTCCTTGGCTTCGCTTTTTTAAAAAAAGAATTAATTAATTAATTAATTTTTAAAATATTTATTATTTTATTATTTTACATACATTCAGTCATATTGTTTAGCTTATGAGGTGAACATTTCAATAGGTTTTTAAAGGTGGAAATCTATAAGATTGCTCATTACCAGACAGCTTTTTAGACATGAAAGTTGGTTGATACCAAGTTAATAAAGCAATTGGTACATCCCCAACGTTGACTAAAATATCACATCTACCTGGAGTTACTATTCTTGCTACATTTATCTAAATAACCGGGTCAATTTTTAATGAAATAAGACTGACTCTGTGAAGGACCATACCACCAGTGAACAGGATATTCAGCTGTGTTTTCCCTCTAAGGATGGTGGTATCAACAATGTTATTCTAGAAATGTGAACAATGAAGTCGGCGGCCAGGGAGGAAGCAGCAAGCATCCCTGACCCGCGCACAGGCCGGCACCTGCTTGGTCAGAGCTGTGTGGGCTGACCAGGGGCTGTTCTCGCCCTGCTTTTCTCAGAAAGGTCCCACGAGAAACATGGAGATTGGAGCCCTGGGGAAACTTGACCCTTAGCCTGGGCACTTCCAGTAGAGTACCAGGAAAATGAGCACACATTGTCGGTGGTGGTGGTGTCCCGACAGTGCGGAAGTTGGCTGTGGGATCTGGAGCTCTCACAAAGCTCTTGTTTCATACATCCATCCATACACAGACACACATGTACAGATGTAGGTATGAATGAGAGAGAATGGTAAAATATGATTCATATCTGTACACCACACAAATGATACGCATTTGCGGTATTAAAAATATCATGAGGGGCCGCAGGTGGCATGGAGGTGAAGGCGGCTGCACCTCATGTAGCCAACTACGTGGTTTGAGCATCGAACTTGGTGACCTGAAAAACACACTGCACGTGTGTGATGCCCCAAATCCAGAGATGAAGGCGGAAAGATCGCAGTATGGTCATTCCCCTGGGGAGGGGGTGATTTCTCACTTTCCCTCTCTCTCTCTCTTCCTCTCTTTCTCTGAGTGAGGAAGTGCACGTGTCCTATAGCAAACAAACAACCCCCAGGAAGGTCATGGCAGGAAAAAATACTTAAAAGGATTCTCTAGCAGGATGATGATAAGAAAGAAAGTTAGGAAACACCGGGTTAGAGTAAAATGCCTCTGAATTTGGGTGCCTGGTGACTGTTCTCTGAGACCAGCAATCCTTAATCCTTACCATGGTTGACTTTCAGTTGTGTCCAGGGTGTCTCCTGGGACCTCTTTCTTTCATTCATTTCTGAAGTGTCATTACTGATCTCTGAGGAAAGAAAGATCTCAGTAAATTTCTCTGGAGAAGTTCCGTGGGGAGTCTCCCAGAGACCAGGAAAGACCTTGCAGTCTGGAGCTGAAGGCTGGGAGCTGGAGTTCCAGGTCTGGCCCTCCCAAGGATGTTCCTGCCGCAAAGCTTGTGCCACTCCTGTCACTGTGCCTGTCTGCCATTCAGAGGAGCGTGGGAAGGCTAGACAGCCTTGGTGACTTTACCAAGGGACACATGCACAGTGGGATGCAGCCATCTGAGCCCCTGGGCCAGAGGCTCTCCAAGTGAGGTCTGCAAGCCCCTAGGAGGACTCTGAAACCCTGCAGAGCAAAACTGTTGTCACAATAACATGCGATTTGCCTTTCCCATTGTTCTGACCTTTGCACAGATTGACCAAGGGCAATGGCAGGTAAAACTGCTGGTGCCTTAGCACGAATCAAAGCAGTGTCCCCAAAGCTTAGGAGCCATTGCATTCCTCACTGCCACCTACTCGCCTTAAAAAAAAAAAGAAAGAAAAAAGCCAAATTCACTTAAGAATATTCTTGACAAGGGACCAGCAGTTAGAGTAATGGCTATGTCACTGGACTCCCACATAGTCTACTGCGGTTCGCGTCCCGGACGCCGGGCACGTGTGCGTGTGTGCCCAAGATCCCGAGAGGAGAATGGAGGAGAAGGGATTGTGGCGTGACCATCCCCCCTGGGGGGTGATTTCTCACTTTCTGTCTCTATGTCTCTCTCTGTCTGTCTGGCGAGCACACGCGCCCTATAGAGAAAACCTCTCCAAAAAAAAAAAAGAAAAAAAAAGAAGGATATTCTTGACAAACCTGTAAAAATGACTAATTTTATTAAATTTCTACACTGAGCACACATCTTTTTAATATGCTGTGTGAAAAACTGGGACGTACATGTAAAGTTTTTTGGCTGCCTTCCGAAGTACCATGGTTGTCTCAAGAAAACTCCTGGAATTGTTTGAGTTGGACTCAAGCAATGTAGCCTACTATATTTATTCAGTAAAACAGTATTTTCCAAATGTCTGTGATATTGTAAAATTTTACCTGAGTACAGCCATTCAAAATGCAAGATGGCATAGTACATTTTATTGTAATGAAGTATGAAAAGCACATTGTTATGGTTTCAGAATCTACAATTAATCTTGAGATGACTACTTGTTGAGTTTTGGTGTAGTAGTAAAGCAAAATGTCTAGCCATCTGGCAAAAGCCTGTTAAAATATGCCCCCCCAGTTCGTCACACCATATCTGTGTGAGGCTGGGTTGTTTCCCTAGACTTCAACCTAAGAAAAGTAACATGAGCAATTGGGTCCAGAGGCAGGTGTAAGACTCCAGCTGTATTTTATGAAACTAGACATTAAAGAGACTTCCAAAAATGTCAAACAATGCCACTCATCTCACTAAGTTTTTCATTTTGGAAGAAAGTATTTTTATGGAAATATGTTACTTATGTTAACAGGTAATTAGTTAATTCTTGTTCCTAATAAATAAACATTTAAAAATAATTAGTTTTAATTTCTAATAAGGTAAATATGGGTAATATAGCAACATAAATAATAACTGTGGGGTCATTGGTCATTCTTTTTAAAATTAGTTTAAAATTTTTAACATTTTTTTAAATTTATAATCACTGTACAGCTTTACAGTATATAAAATGGTCTTTTCCAGCATAAATACGGTGCATATCAGTCAAGTCAAAGATATTACCATGTACAGTATCATCAACAGCTAACTTTTCATTTTTGTGTCTGTTAAATATGTTTTCCCCCTCGATGCCCTTCCTCCCTGTTATCCAACCCCTCCAATATTGCCTCTAATGTCTACAGTTGCCCTGTCTGCTAATATACCTTCCAATCTTTCAGCTTCTTTTTTCTTTTTTTTTTTTTATATATTTGATCGCTATACATCATTTAGCTTATAAAGAGGATTTACCCAACATGAAAACACCTCAGACAGTATACATTAAGTGGGGACATATAGTTCCTATCTTTCATAGTCTGGCTTGCTTCACTTAGAATGAAATCTTCCATATTCGTTCACTACAAATAGACTACCATATGATCCAATAATTCCACTCCTGGTTATTGACCCAAAGGACAGGAAAACACTCAGTCAGAAAAACACTGGCATATCCACGCTTACTGCAGTGTTGTTCACAAGTGCTAAGACATGGAATCAACCTAAATGTCTAAGAACAGATGAATGGATTGAAAAAATATGGCAGATACACACTATGGAATATGACTCAGCAATTCTCAAGAGTGTTTGAGAGCTGCTGCCTTAACCCAAGAAGAGGTATGCTGTCTCTGTGGACACATTTGTTTCTTCAACCAAAACTCCTTAGCTGCAATAGAGCCTTCTCTTTGTCCCTCCTGTCTCACCTCCTCCTCTTTCTCTCACCTCCCCCTGCTCCTGCTGGACATATCTTGCCGACTCTGCACCCGCTCCGGAGAAACCCTCCCACATGGAGCCATTCGAATGGCAAGTGCCACCATCAGCCTTACCCTCTGATCTGGACGTTTGGGCACATCTGGCCCTTGCCTTTTGGGCTCTCGTCATCACCTCTGACTTCCAGGTCGAGCTGTTCTTTTTTCTAGTCACCTGATGCATCACTTGGAGTCTCTCTTGAGTTCCTTGCTCAGGTGAGGCTGCCCCTGGACCAAGCAGTGGGTCGTGAATAGTTGAATCGGGGTCCCCAGTGAGCCCCTCCGGTGGCCATCAGTGATCTCCCTTCATGCCTCTAGCCCCCACCTTTTCAGGAGATCTCGGTACCCTGTACCTCACTTCCCCCACTATTTCTCTGTAATTATCTTTTTCCTTGTATGTGCCATTCTTTCTTCCCCTAAATCACCATCTATTCTCACTCCAGGTACCACCTGTTCAAATCGACCAGACTTATTTGGAGGAAATCCCAGAGCAGTAGAGATTACTTCTTGATTCTTCTTTGTCTGACCCCTGTGCCATGAGGAGGCCCCATCGGGGAGAAATGCCCACTGCAGGGAGCTCTTGCTTAGGTGGAGGGGTGCTTTACAATGCACCTCTACCCCAGGGCCTGTGTGTGGTCCCAGAGAGAGCCAGCGTTTCCTAGGGAGGAAAGTCTAAGCTATCACTGAATCCAGAGGCAAGGACACTGCCAAGGGGGGGCCAAAGGGAGGGACCAATGGATGGTGAGCCTGAGACCGAGGACCAGCGAGGTCAGAGGTGAGTCTACCTCGACGCAAAAAGAGAGGAACACAACTTTCACTGACTCTGCACTTTAGAAGCTGATCCCCAGGATGGCCACTGTCTGGTGGAACAAGGATGTCTCTGTGAGGTCAGCAAGGTCACAGACAGTGCACGGCGCCTCCTCTGGGCAGCCAGACCCTGAATTTTCCCCAATATCCAGATGCCATTCTGGGGGAGGTAGGTGTGGTTATGCACTGTGGGAGGAGAGACAATTGAACCTGAACTTCCTGGTGGGAAGTTCAAGCTGGGAAGTTACTGAGTATTTATCCAAAGGAGCCTGGGATAGCATGAAAGAGTCTAAACCTTGCCTTTAATTCAATTTTTTTTTCTTTTTATAACAAAAGAGTTTCAGAGAAGATGAGAATTACAGAAAATGAATAAAAAGTTCATGGGAATGTGTATTATGTTAAAGCTACGTGTGGATTTCAAATTTCTTTTGCACCAAACTAGACCTGTACTAACTTGTTATAACGTCTGAGCAGGGTCCTGGTTTGAGACCCTAAGAAGGATAAGATGTCAGTTTGAAAAGAACCCCTACCAGAGCAACAGGAAGTCTCCTGAAACTGAATCAAGAACATGACGGTAAAGCTCAGGGGAGGAATGGTGGAAGCACTGATATTTACGAAAAGACCGTGGGAACAATGCTTCCCTACCGAGTCCTTGGCTTACAAATGGATAACTCATTTCAAGATGGAACAAGACAACGCGGAAGATGACCCCACAGGAACAGGCCACCGCATCAGGTTTTTTTTTTTTTTTTTTTTTTTTTCAGAGGTATTTGCTATAGGGTGCATGAGGTCACTGTAGAGACGACAAAGAGAGACAGAGACAGAAAGAGAAATCATCCCTGGGGGGATGGTCTTCCCGCAACCCCTTCTCCTACATTCTACCCCCAGGATTTTGGGAATGCAATGCACACGCACCTGGCGTGGGTCTGGGACTCGAACCATGGATGACTACACAGCAGTAACCATTATGCCCTCTGCTGGTCCGAAGCATCAGTTTGTAAGGAAACAATCTTCTTTATGCCTCAGTTGTACAAGACTGATGATTAACAGCAGAAACAACAGTGAAAACCACAGACATCTCTGACTGGAAGATTGAAGTTGGGCAAATTTTCTGTTGAATGGGTGCCTAAACTGTTGTGCTCAGATCAGCTGCAGACAAGAGCAGAGCTTTCCCTGCAAATTTCATACAAGTGGGACCAAGGTCCTGAAGCATGTCTTTGAAGAATTATACAGGAGGGATCAGCAGTTAGCGTAATGGCTATGATGCTGGACTCCCCACGGAGGGGACTGCAGTTCAAGTCCCAGACCTGATGGCTTAAACTCACACCAGGCGCATGTGCGTGCGTGCCCAAGATCCCGAGAGAAGAATGGAGGAGAAGGGATTGTGGCATGGCCACCCCCCTTTGGGGGGCGATTTCTCGCTTTCTCTCTCTCTGTCTCCCTCTGTCTTTCTAGTGAGCGCATGCGCCCTACAGCAAAGACCTCTCAAAAAAAAATTATATAGGAGATGGCACGTGGCTTTGCCAGGACAGTCCTGAGGACAAAGTACGATCAAAGAAAGGGCTAAGAGGAGGAAGTGAGCTGGTCAGAGCACACAGGAGCTGGTCAGAGCCCATGGGAACCAGTCAGAGTGCACAGGAGCTGCTCAGAGCACAAGTGAGCCTGTCAGAACGCACAAGAGTGGGTCAGAGCACAAGTGGGCCTGTCAGAGTGCACGGGAGCCTGTCAGAGCATGGGAGTCTGTCAGAGCACACGGGAGCTGGTCAGAGCTCATGGGAGCTGGTCAAGAGCAGAGGTCATGGGAATGTTTTTTTGAGGATGCACAAGGCTTTCTGCTTGTTGACTTTCTGAAGGGCCAAAGAACAATAACCGCTTACTAGGACAGTATTTTGAGAAAGCCTGAGTTTTAGCAGAAAAACACCTACAAAGTCTTCACTAGTGTCCTTCTGTGTCTACCACAAGGCTCTTGCTCATCACTCTCACCAAACAAGGGTGGTTTGGGGAGTTTCAGTGGGAAATCATTCGGCTTCCACCTTCCAGTTCTGATTTGGCTCCTTTTGGCTTCTTTTTGTTTCTCAACCTTAAAAACATCTTTAAAGGGCACCCGTTTTTTTCTCAGCTAATAGTGTAAAAAAAGATGGTATTGGTTAAATTCTCAGGACACTCAGTTCTCTATGGATAGACTGAATGGCTGGTGCAATCACTTACAAAAACTTAATAGAACTTATGGGGACCAGCAGTTAGCATAATGGCTATGCTGCTGGACTCCAACGTCGTCGACCGTGGTTCACGTCCTGGACCCGGTGGCTTAAAACTCACGCCCGGCACGTGTACGTGCGTGCCCAAGATCCCGAGAGGAGAACGGAAGAGAAGGGATTGCGGTGTGGCCATCCCCCCGGGGGGTGATTTCTCGCTTTCTGTCTTTCTGTCTCTCTGTCTGTCTGGCAAGCACACGTGCCCTATAGCAAAAACCTCTCAAAAAAAAAAAAAAGCTTAATAGAACTTATGTTGAAAAATAAAATCTGTATTTTAAAATTTGATCTTTAAAAATTTTTTCTCATGAAGTTTTCAAAGTCCCCTATATTTTCAACACCATGATGTTTTTGTTTGTTTGTTTTAAGTTAAATGTATTTACTTCTTCTGAGAGATAGAGAAAGATAAAAAGAAGAGAAGAGAGACAGACAGGCACCCCTAACAGTCTTCGCCCCATGATCTACCTAGGCATACATCTGTACCCGCTGTGCTCAGGGAGGGACCAGGACACAAACCCAGAACCTTTCCAAGTGGGTCCCCTTGTGTTATCACCTGGTCCCAACAATGTTTTCTCCCCCTTTTTAAATTGCGAACTTTTGAAAGATGTGTGGTGTCTTTAATAAAGGTGATCAATTAGATGTAAAACAGTGTGACTCTTACAATATGCCTGAAGTGAAGGGATTGCGCTGTGGCCATCCCCCCGGGGGGTGATTTCTCGCTTTCTGTCTTTCTGTCTCTCTGTCTGTCTGGCAAGCACACGTGCCCTATAGCAAAAACCTCTCAAAAAAAAAAAAAACTTAATAGAACTTATGTTGAAAAATAAAATCTGTATTTTAAAATTTGATCTTTAAAAATTTTTTCTCATGAAGTTTTCAAAGTCCCCTATATTTTCAACACCATGATGTTTTTGTTTGTTTGTTTTAAGTTAAATGTATTTACTTCTTCTGAGAGATAGAGAAAGATAAAAAGAAGAGAAGAGAGACAGACAGGCACCCCTAACAGTCTTCGCCCCATGATCTACCTAGGCATACATCTGTACCCGCTGTGCTCAGGGAGGGACCAGGACACAAACCCAGAACCTTTCCAAGTGGGTCCCCTTGTGTTATCACCTGGTCCCAACAATGTTTTCTCCCCCTTTTTAAATTGCGAACTTTTGAAAGATGTGTGGTGTCTTTAATAAAGGTGATCAATTAGATGTAAAACAGTGTGACTCTTACAATATGCCTCGGGCTGTGGAGAGAAAACACTAAGGCGTCTCAGTTTTACAAGATGAAAAGAATTTCGGAGAGAGCCGGGGGCAGTGACTGGGCACATTATGAATTTATGTACTATCACTGGACTGTTCACTGAAAAATGCTTGAGATGGTCAATTTTAGGTTACGTGCATTTTTACCGTAATAAAAAATAGAGAACATAACTTTTTTAAAAAAGAAAAGCACATCATCTGTCACATTGAAAATAAAGTGAATCTTAAAAAAAATAACAAAAACTATTAACTTTAAAAATTTAAATATAATATGAAGAAAGACAAATCGGGAAGAGCCTGGCATTGCCTACTCCTCCCGGCAGCTAGGCAGAGAGGTCTCAGGTCAGAGTTACCCCAACAGAACTGACAGTCTGACCCAGCCCTGGGCTCCAGACTTCTCCTCTCTGACAAGGCTGCGTCTCTGACCACTGCTGCAGAGTCACGTAGATGTCCCCTGCCCCCAGCCCTATGATGCAGACCTCTATGGGAATGGGCATCTCGGGACTGGGACGGGGGCCACGGACGTGAAGGCTATCCACACCAGCCCTAAACCAGGACAGTGAGAACAGGAGGACTGCACCGGCTCCGCTGCTCCGCAGTGAGGTTTCCCTCTCGGGTGTGGTGGCGCCTACACCGTGGCAAAAACCAATGGAGGCGGGAGGATTGCGGCATCGAGATTTCCTCCAATAACCTTTCCGTCTGCACCAGGGGCTGTTGGAGGCGCTGAGTCCCCTTTGTATAACGCAATATAAACTAATAACTACCCTTTGTCGGGCCATTATTCAAATTCTGGTTACAGAAAATATAGGTTCTTTCTTTTTTTGTAGGGAGAGGCCAGATCTGGACAAAACACCAGTGATCTTTAAAAGTAGATACGGTCTTTGTGCTGAAGCTGCAGGGCAAGCGAAAGCTCTAACAAGGACCTGACCCCTCTGCACTGCAGGGCCGTGCCAATGAAAGGAAGTGTGGCCAGCCAGAGCGGCCAGGGGAGGCTTGTTTCGAATCACAGGGTGCAAGGTGCTCCCCAGCTGCAGTTAGTAATAGAAGACACCCAGCTTTCCCTTCCACGTCTCCCTCCCCCATTGCCCTATGAAAGAATAAACCTGAGAACAGCTCAGGGCTGTCCGTCAGAGATGTCCTGTTTGTCCAATGCCCGCTTTTCTCTACTTGCGCGTGTGTCTCTCTATGCTTTATAAATCCACTGCCTCGCAGGCAAAGGCACTTTTTTTTTTTTTTTTTTTTTTTTTGTTCAAGAAATAACGAATGCTTCCTCTGTGCCTGAAATGTACCATCTAGCCTAGAAGTGACACATTGTAAAAGTAATTATACTGGAGTATGTGGAGTTTTCCAACACTGCTGGGTGCCACAGAAGCATGCGGTGGGAGTAGGTTAGCTGATGTACGGCCAGAGTGTGCCCTTCTGAAACATCATTTATGCCAACACCAGTGACAAAACAGAGGAAGCCAGACATGGAAGGAGAGTGGTATAGGGTGAGCACGTGGCATTTGCAGAAAACAGCGCGTGCTGAGGACCAAAGGGGAGAGGAAGAAGAGGGAGAGACACGGGAGTTCAGAGTGATCGGCTGGAATCGGAGCAGAGAAGCCAAGGGTGGGTTGGAGAGAGCGCTGACAGTCACATTAAGAACCACAAGCATTATCCTAAGGGCAAGAGGAGGCCTTGGGCAAGTTTTAAGCAGAGACAGAAATCCCTTGATTTTAGTGTAGAAAAAGCAAGTAGAATCAGGACTTGTCAGTATACTATCAGAATTCAGTGAGTCAGGGATGACTTCGTTTTTACTTGGCCCCTGTGCAGATGGGGTTCTTCATATCAAGGGCGACAAGTTCCAAAATTCTCCAAGGGCCTTTGGGGCTTTCTCCCTCTGTGCCACCTTCTCCCTCCATCATTGTCACCCAACAACGCTGGCCTGTCCTCCCAATCTTGAGTCCTCTCAGCACTTTTGAGTCACCATCCTATGCATAGGGGCCTTCTCCCCACCCTGCAAGTCACTGTAGCAACCCTGTCCTTTATTTCCGTCATCCTGCCGTCACCATCCGAAATTATCTTGTTTGTGTTCCTTCCTCTGCCCCCGCCAGAATGTAATTTTAATGACTTTTCTTTCTTCTTCCTTTCTTTTAGATTTTTTTCCCATAGGTGCATGCACTGGAGAAAGACAGTGAGGGAGGAAAAGTGAGAAATCGTCACCTCACACCATCACCGGTGGTGGGGTGGATGGCCACACAATAATCTCTTCCCCTCTACTCTCCTCTCAGGATTTTGGGCATGCATGCACACATGCCCAGCGTGTTTTCAAGCCACCAGGTCTAAGACTCTACCATGCAGTCGGCCATGCGGGATCCAGTGCCTTAATCACAATGCCACCTGCTGGCCCCCTTCTTTCTTTCTTTTTTTGCTTGCTGTTTTGATTTCTCTCCTTAAAATAAAACAAAAACTCCATCGTCAGCTCTCGGAGTTGACTGGTATACATGGAGACAGTGGTCACGGCATATTTGTTGAATAAATGTGTAAGTGGCACTTAAAAGACCAGCTTTGGGGGGAAGGTGAATTCAGTTTCAGACATGCTGATGCTACAGTGTTTACGGGAGACTTGCAAACGAAGATGACCAGTGAGCAGCTGGTTATGTCCCCTGAGGGTAGTAGACCTGAGTTGAAGATGTAGATTTGGGAGCCAGCAGCTAGAGGTGGCGATTGAGTCAGTCATAAGAGTGGCTGACAGAGCTCAGGGAACGTGAGCTGAAAGACCTGCACAGTTTACACTAAGCCAAGGCAGTCATAGTGAACACAGAAAACGATGCCAAAGCCACCAACTTAAATGCAGAGTGAGAAAGAGCAACCGTCTCTCCTCCCTGCCCAGGAAGACCTCTGCCTTTGGACAGAAGGCTCAGCAGGTTTTTTGCACAGCGGCAAACTTGGTCTCGAATCATGTCACTGTATTGCTGAGATCTCTGATGGCTTCCCATTAGATTATCTGAAGTCCAACTCCCACACCATGCTTGGCAAGCACTCCACGTGCTATCCCCAGCCTCCTGCCACCTCTTGTCCCTCCTCTTACTTTTTGGTAGGCTTCTCTTCTGATGTCTGTTTTTTGGAGTTGACCAGGTACTTCGTTTTCTTTTTTTCCCTAAAAAGAAAGTATAAAGCTAATCTTTTCAACAAACACAGATCAGCAAAGACATTCAGCTTCTACTTTTGATCTTCAGACCACAAGGGCTAGGAGGTCAGCGGTGACTCTAGGTGGTACCACTTCATGCATAATAGGGGAGGACGGGACTCTAAAGTGCAGGGCAAATAGAGAAGTGAGAAACAGTGAGTTTGGGTGAGTCATTTCCTGAAGATTGGTTGTGAAAGGAAAGAGAGCTGTGGAGGCAGCTGAGCTGAGAGGAGGAGTCAGAGGAGGTTCTTTTTTGGAGCCCGATGGGCTGATGTATATGCCGAGTACAGATCCTTGTCTGAGAGGGCTACTGGATGCTGAGATGGCGTGAAAGGATCATGGCTGCTACAGAGTGAGGTGGAAGGTGGGCCAGCAGGTGGCATGGTAGTTAAGGTACTAGATTCCAATATGGACAGCTATAGTTCAAATCCCAGACCTGTAGGTTTTTAAATCACAACAAATAAATAGATCAATAAACAGATAAATATTAAAAAAAAAAAAAAAAAAAAACCAACTGAGGTGGAAGGTTCTCTAAGGCTAGAGAGGAGCGAGGCCATGCAGCGAGGGTTTCAGGGCTGGCTGTGGGGAAGTGAGAGATTTCGCATCTGATACCTTTTCATGAAGTAGGAGGCAAAGTCACCTATTGACCACAAGGAGGAGGTGAGGAGTCAGAGGTTTGGAAAACGGAGCTGGAGGTTTGAAAGGACAGCTGCAGCAGTGGAACTGCCGTCACGCGGGGCCACCTGGCTGGAATCGCGAAGGCGCAGCGTGCACTCTGCCAGGTGTGCTCTTGGAGTCAGTGCAGAAGCTGCCAGAGAGCTCTAGGACGAGACAGACAGGCAAGGCCGGTTAGGTAGTGGCAGCAGGTTACCGAAGCGACAGAGTGTGGAGTCTGGTAAGGAGGAGTGTGAAGAAAGGCAGATGATGGATGAGGAAAGGGAAGGCCATCGACTAGTGATCCCAACAAGGCTGAAGAACAGCGGCAAAAGAGACACAGAGTAAGGAAAAAGAAACGAGAGCAATTTTTTTTTCAGATTAATTTCACATTTCCATAAAGCCCCCATAATGACGCATACTATATATACATGTGTGTGTGTATATGTGTATATATATATACACATATACACATATATATATATATATACACATATATATATATATATATATTTAATTTTTAATTTTTTTTTGGTTTGTTAAATGTTCTTTCCCTCTGGAGAGAAATACTCTCTTAAACCAATGTTTTAGGATTAAGCTGAGAAGAGACTTGAGGTTGAATGACAGGTGCAGAAGGGCCAACCTTCCGGGATAGGTGCCAGAAAGAATTCTTTAGTTACTGGGAACTTGAACTAGGTTCGAATGATGATGAGGCCTCTGGGACTGCCTTAGGAAAAAAAAAATCACTGGAAATGAACAGATGCAGGAGAGGCCAGAGCATGGGATGGGCTGTCTGTTATTTATGGGTACCTGGGAGGCTTCTAGGATGACAGGAACTGAGGTGACAGAAAATCAGCCCCTAGGTTCTGCTGGGAGGAGTGGAGAGGGGACAGCTAGAGACTGATGGATAGGGACAGTGGATGGCAACCATGTGGGTGAGGATGGTGAGAAGGCCCAGCTGCGTCGGCACTGTTCTGTCTGGGGGCGAACTCTGCACTTCAGCGTGCGGTGCAGCCAGTAGTCTAAGAAGTGTCGGAGGAGACTGCCGATCTCAGAACAGGCAGCTCAGTGGATGCGTATCTCAGTGTCCCTAAATGCCCCTAGTGTCCCAGTAGTCTCCTAAAGGCCTCTGGAGAAGGTGTAGGTGAGGAAATTGATAGAAACCGTGTGCTGGCATCGGGACTGCAGTCACCTGGCAGGGGCTCACGGCAAGCTCTGACCAAGGATACAGAGAACCG